TGTCTTACTGTGGGGGCTTGCAGGTTACTGTGATGTTAGAAGCTATGCCACCACTATTCAAATACCAGCGGGGTCAGCCATGGTGGACAGGTTTCAGCTGAGCTTCCAGACCAAGACAGACTAGGAAGAAGGACCTGGTGGTCTACTTCTGAAAAGACTCAACCAATGAAAACCTTATGAATAGCAACAGAACATTGTCTGATATAGTGCCAGAAGGTGAGCCCCTCAGGTTGGAAGGCACTCAAAAGATGACTGGGAGAGAGCTGCCTCCTCAAAGTAGAGTCGACCTTAATGATGTGGGTGGAGTCAAGCTCTCAGGACCTTCATTTGCTGATGTGGCATGACTCAAAACGAGAAGAAACAGGTGCAAACATCCATTAATAATAGGAATATGGAATGTATGGAGAATCTAGGAAAATCGGAAATCATCAAAAATGAGATGGAACACATAAACATCGATAGCCTAGACATCAGTGAGCTGAAATGGACTGGTGTTGGCCATTTTGCATCAGGTAATCCTATGGTCTACTATGCCAGGAATAACAGCTTGAAGAGGAATGGCATTGCATTCATTGTCAAAAAGAACATTTCAAGATCTATCCTGAAGTACAGCGCTGTCAGTGGTAGGACAATATCCATATATACAAGGAAGACCAGTTAATACGACTATTATTCAAATTTATGCACCAAATATTAATGCCAAAGATGAAGAAACTGAAGTTTTTACCTACCAACTTCTGCAGTCTAAAATTGATGGAACATGCAATCAGGATGCATTGATAATTACTAGCAATTGGAATGTGAAAGTTGGAAACAAAGAAGGACAGGTAGTTGGAAAATATGGCCTTGGTGAAAGAAACAATGCCGGAGATCGAATGACAGAATTTTGTAAAACCAACAACTTCTTCATTGCAAATAACTTTTTTCGACAACATAAATGGTGACTATACACAGGGACCTTGCCAGGTGGAATACACAGGAATCAAATTGACTACATGTGTGGAAAGAAACAATGGAAAAGCTCAATATCATCATTCAGAACAAGGCCAGGGGCCGACTGAGGAACAGATCATCAATTGCTAATATGCAAGTTCAAGCGGAAGCTGAAGAAAATTAGAATAAGTCCACAAGAGCCAAAGTTCGACCTTGAGTACATCCCACCTGAATTTAGAGACCATCTCGAGAATAGATTTGACCCATGACTGAAGACCAGATGAGTTGTGGAATGACATCAAGGACATCATACATGAAGAAAGCCAAGCGGTCATTAAAAAGACAGAAAAGAAAGAAAGACCACAATGGATGTCAGAAGAGACATCTTGCTCTGAAACTTGCTCTTGAATGTCAAGCAGCTAAACTGCACAGAAGACGTGATGAAGTAAAAGAGCTGAACAAAGGATTTCAAAGGGCGACTCAAGAAGACAAAGTAAAGTAGTATAATGACATGTGTAAAGAGCTGAAGATAGAAAACCAAAAGGGAAGAACACACCCAGCATTTCTCAAGCTGAAAGAACTGTAGGAAAAATTCAAGCCTCAAGCTGTAATATTGAAGGATTCTACAGGGAGAATATTAAATGATGCAGGAAGCATCAAAAGAAGATTGAAGGAATACACAGAGTCACTGTACCAAAAAGAAGTGGTCAACATTCAATCATTTCAGGAGGCAGCATATGATCAGAACCGATGGTACTGAAGGAAGAGGTCCAAGCTGCACTGAAGGCACTGGGGAAAAACAAGGCTCCAGGAATTGATGGAATATCAACTGAGATGTTTCAACAAACGGATGCAGCACTGGAAGTGCTCACTCATCTATGCCAAGAAATTGGGAAGACAGCTTCCTGGTCAACTGACTGGTAGAGATTCATATTCATGCCTATTCCAAAGAAAGGTGATCCGAATTATCGAACAGTATCATTAATACCACAGGCAAGTAAAATTTTCCTAAAGATCATTCAAAAACATTTGCAGCAGTACATCGACAGGGAACTGCCAGAAATTCAAGCTGGATTCAGAAGGGGAAGTGGAACCAGGGATATCATTGCTGATGTCAGATGGATCCTGGCTGAAAGCAGAGAATACTAGAAAGATGTTCACCCGTGTTTTATTGACTATGTAAATGCATTCGACTGTGTGGATCGTAACAGATTATGGATAACATTGCAAAGAATGAGGATTCCAGAACACTTAATTGTGCTCATGCAGGACCCGTATGTAGATCAAGAGGCAGTCATTCAAATAGAACAAAGGGATGCTAAGTAGTTTAAAGTCAGGAAAAGTGTGCGTCAGGGTTGTATCCTTTCACCGTACTTATTCAATCTGTATGCTGAGCAAATAATCTGAGAAGCTAGACTATATGAAGAATGGAGCATCAGGATTGGAGGGAGACTCATTAACAACCTGTGATATGCAGGTGAAACAACCTTGTTTGCCGAAAAGTGTAGATGACTAAGAACAGATCTGTCTTGGAAGAAGTACAGCCAGAATGCTCCTTAGAGGTGAAGATAGCAAGACTTTGTCCCATGTACTTTGGACATGTTATCAGGAGGGACCAGTCCCTGGAGAAGGACATCATACTTGGTAAAGCAGAGGGTCAGCAAAAAAGAGGAAGACCCTCGGTGAGATGGATTGACACAGTGGCTGCAACAATGGGCTCAAGCATAACAAGGATTGTGAAGATGGTGCAGGACCGGGCAGGGTTTGGTTCTGTTGTACATGGTGTCGCTGAGTCAGAACCGATTCAACAGCACCTAACAAAAACAACACTCAACAACCAGAAGCTGGGGAGAGACAAGAAGGGATCTTCCTCTAGGGCTTCTGGAGAGAATACGGCCCTGCCGACATGCTGGGTTTGGACTCACAGATTTCAGAATTGTGAGACAATAAATTTCTCTTCTTATAAGTCACCCACTTTGTGGTACTTTGTTATAACAGCCCTAGAAACTTACACATGCCCCTAAGCCCATCATTTCACTTTTCCTTATCTGTAAAATGCCACACTTCTTTCATGGGACAACTAAGATCGCCCCTCCAGATCAGTCAACACATGGGCAAAGGACTTGAACAGACATTGCACCAAAGCCGATATTCAAATGACCAGCAAACACATGAAGAGATGCTCAGTGTCATTAGTCATCGGAAAGATGCAAATCAAAACCACAACAAGGTACCATTTCACTGCCACTAGGGTGGCTCAGAATACAGCAGAAAATAACAAATGCTGGTGAGGGTTGGAATCTTTATCCATTCGTGATGGGAATGCAAAATGGTACAGCTGTTGTGGAAAACAAGTGTGGTAGTTCCTCAAAAAACTAAAAATAAAACTATCATATGACCCAACAATTCCATTGCTAGGAATATACCCAAGGGACTTATGTACACCAATGTTCATTGCAACATTATTAACAATCCCCCAAGAGGTGGAAACAACCTAAATGTCCATCAGTGGATGAACAGATAAACAAAATGTGGTACGTACATACAATGGAATACTATTCAGCCAGAAAGAGAAATGAAGTCTTGATTCATGCTACAACATAGATATAGTCTGAAGACATTATGCTGAGTGAAATAAGTCAATCACAAAAGAACAAATACTGATGACCTCACTTATATAAAAAAACAAGAACAGACAAATATATAGAAACCAAAGTTTATTAGTGGTTACCAGGGGCAGGAGAGAGGGGGAAAGGCGGGTTATCGTTTACGGAGCACTGAGTTCTGGTTTACAGTGATGAAAAATTGCACTGATTCAGAGTAGGGTTGCACAGCTGATTGATGAAATAGACGTCTAAGTTGTACACATGTAAAAAGTTGAACTGCCCAATGTTGTGTGACAGATACATTTACAACAACAATCATTTCTGTTGTTTTAAGCCACCCAATTTGGTTACGGCAGTTGTAGAAAACCAATACAGCTACCCTCTTCCCAAACTCTTGGCTTGTGCTGAGTGTCAGATGATGGACGCATCTGTCACTCAACTGTCCTCTAGGTGCTTCCAACAGCAGGTGATGGGGGTTTGTGAAAATAGTAAATAGGTTGACTGACCTGGGCAGAAGGGAGTCTTGGCTGTGGTTGAACTGGGATCAACTTTCTCCATAGAAATATGAGCCCCAGGGCCAGGCCAAGCAACCCTCAGCTTCTCTTTAGGCTTTTAGGTTCTGTTCCCTCCCTCTCCCTCACCTCTAATCTGTCTTCTGCCTTACACAGGCTCCTTCCTTTCGTTAACTCATCCCCAAGGCTGCTCAGGGGGAAAGGGGGGCTCATCTCTGTTCCCTTATCCAACCCTGCCTAGGCACAGACGTCAGGACTGGGCATAGGTGCCTGGACCAAAAAAACAAAAAGTGACATCTAGAAGTTCTTTTTAAAAATTATTATTCTCCACTAATCCTTTTCAGAACAGTGATTTACTTTTTCAGGATTCTGAACTTGAATTCCTAGTTTGGGAGACTGTGGCACCCTCCCCAAACCCGTTCTCCCCTTCTTCCTGGGCACAGGAGCACGGAGCTGAAGTCCATAGTCCCAGCCTTCCGTGTGGGTCACAAGTGGACTGTGAACAGGACTGCTGCTTCCACCTCGCTTGCTTAGGAAGGAATTTGCTGCCCTGGTGTCTGTCTCTCTCTCTCCTCCCAGTGACATTCTCATGACCCAGCTTCAGTCATGCAGCCAGAGCAGAACCTTAGAAGACCGTGGAGTCACAAGACAGAAGACAGCCGTGGCCTTGCCAGTAAGCGGCAAAGCTCTGAACTGGTTCGCAGAGCCAGTTCCCCAGTGCGGAGGCTGTCACATGAGAGACAAATAAACGTGTTTTCCGAAAGGCATCGTATTTTTGGTTTCTTTGTTACAGCAGCTTCACCTTCACCCTAACATGCTAATTCACCATGTAGGTTTCAGGGACCATATCCTCTACATCTTTTTTTTTTTTTTAAATAATATTTTATTGTAATTTCGGTGAAAGTTTACACAGCAAATTTGGTTCCCATTGGACAATTTCTACATAAATAAAGATCTGGAACGCCTCATGAATTTGCCTGTCATCCTTGCTCAGGGGCCACGCCAATCTTCTGCGTTTCGTTCCGACTGTGGTACATGCGCTGCTGAAGCGAGCACTCGATCCATCTCTCTCGTAATCCCGGGAGAGGCAGAGGGCAATCTCAATGGAGTAGCACCCCACTCGGATATTAGGGTCTAAAGTCAGAGCATAAGGTGTAAACCATAGATAGTTAGGGCTGTCTTTAAAATAAAAAGTCCTTTACAAAGTTTCCGTGTTGAAGCACCTCTCGATAAGCGCAACGTGAGCCACTTTTTCACCCACCCCGGATGAGCGTCTGGATCGCACTCACAAACCGCGTGGCAGAAGCGATGTCTCTGACTCGCACTCAGTTTGGCAAGAGGCTCACACGTGAAAAAGTCTTGGGCTCCGAAACGCACACAGAGAACAGCGTCATCTCACGTCCAACACGCTCTGCAGCAGGGGTTCTCACGCGAGAGCAGAGGTCCTCGCGCGGGAGCGGGAGTTCTCGTGGTCCTCGCGCGGGAGCAGAGGTCCTCGCGCGGGAGCAGGGGTCCTCGCGCGGGAACAGGGTCCTCGCGCGGGAGCAGGGGTCGTCGCGCGGGAGCAGGGGTCGTCGCGCGGGAGCGGGAGTTCTCGTGGTCCTCGCGCGGGAGCAGGGGTCGTCGCGCGGGAGCAGGGGTCCTCGCGCGGGAGCGGGAGTTCTCGTGGTCCTCGCGCGGGAGCAGGGTCCTCGCGCGGGAGCAGGGTCCTCGCGCGGGAGCAGGGTCCTCGCGAGGGAGCAGGAGTTCGCGTGGTCCTCGCGCGGGATCAGGGGTCGTCGCGCGGGAGCAGGGGTCGTCGCGCGGGAGCAGGGGTCGTCGCGCGGGAGCAGGGGTGCCCGCGCGGGAGCAGGGGTCCCCGCGCGGGAGCGGGGTCGTCGCGCGGGAGTAGGGGTCGTCGCGCGGGAGCAGTGTTGCAGCCACGGGCACAGTTGGTGGTGTCCGCGGATAGTCGTAGTTGTCAGAACTTGGGTTGAGGGTGCTATCCACATCTAGCGGGTACAGACAGAGGTTCTTTAAGCACCCTGCGATGCACAGGACAGCCCCCAAACGGGATTATCTGGCTCAAACCCCGCTCTGCCGTGAAGCTCGCTGAGGGGGATGGCCGGGGAAACCGAGGTACGTGCACTTCCTGGAGCCCACCCCTCCTCTTGCACATGTTTATTGCACGTGAGTATTTTAATTTGAGTGAATTCAGTATGCTGCTGTTGCTGTTTCTTTGAACCGAACAGGTTAAGGTTGGCAAGATCAGGGGTCTTCAGCAATTCCTTCACGTCTTAATGTTTTAGAGAGCGAAGATGCTCTATTTGGGTGATTATTAAACCGCCGGCCAGTTCAGGACGTTTCGTCAGTAACCATCATCGGTGCTTTATGTTGCCTAAGCTTTTCCTTTCTAAGTGGCGTGGGCTCCTTCTCCTGTTGAAAGAGCGCTCTGCTGATCTGTGGCTTTCCTGGTCAGGGATACTTTCCACAATAGCCAGTCTCAGAGCCCCTCGGTTTCGTCTTGCAATGCTTCGAGAAACATTCACCTCATGCCAGTTTCAAAATAAATACAAACAACAGCAAACGCCAAACCCACTGCCATTGAGTCAGTTCTGACTCATGGTGACCCCACGTGTTACAGAGAACTTCTCCATAGGGTGGGTTTTTTTTTTGGGTGGGGGGCTGTAATCTTCATGAAAGCAGATCGCCAGGCCTTTCTTCTGTGGTGCCACTGGGGGAGCAGCAGATAAGGATGGGGTAGGGGGTGGAACTGGGCCTTAGGGCCTATGCTTTTATTAAATTACCCCAAATTATTCAAAAACGGTCAACTCCATCTGGAAATTCCTGGTCTCTGGAGTTTTTAAAAGCCTTTGCAAGCAATATCCCATTCAAGCAGATTTATTCCAATTTTTAGATAAGAAAATTGAGTAGATACAAGATTTGCCTAAAGTCACTCTGAGTTAATTGCCAGTGGGATCTACCCTCATTTCTCCCTCACGCTTCTGCCTCCAGCACATTAACGTACAGTTTGCACATCCTTTTCCTTCTGCAGGGTTTGGACTGTGTTTCAGGCTAGGTTCTCCAGAGGAGCAAAACCAGCAAGGCATGTATATAAACAAATATAGAGAGATTTATCTCAAGGAAATGGCTCACACAATTGTAGAGGCTGGCAAGTCCCAAATCCGTGGGCCAGGCAGCAGGCTGGAGGCTTCTTCTGACTCACACGGTTGCAGGGGCTGACGAACCCAAAATCTGCAGGACAGGTGGCAGGCTGCTGGCATACGGGGTTGTGGGAGCTGGTGAACCCAAAATCTGCAGATCAGGCAGTAGGCTGAAAGCTTCTCACATCCCAAGAACCAGAGATCAGAGGATGATGAGACTAATGCAGGATTGAGAGAGCATGAGCTTTCCCAGAATGTTCATGTATATACTGGATGCAGGCCACACCCCCAAGGAAGCTCCACTTCCAAATGATTGGCTGCTCACATCAAATCAAAAAATGGAGGATGGTTACATAGTATCTGCCCAACGACTGAGAATCATGGCCCAGCCAAGTTGACACAGAGCATTAACCATCATGGGCTGGGAGAGCTCTGTGAGGGGCCAGCAGTACTTACAGTTGCCAGGCTGAGCTTGGTGCTGACTGTTTTAGTTCTCTTGCCACAGGTGCCCTGTGTTTAAGGTGAAGACCTCTCACTTGACATCAGACCCCAGTGTCATCGAGGCCCTTGTTACTCAGGGTGTGGTCCAGCGACCAGCAGCACTGATGTCACCTGGGACATTGTGAATCTTCGTTAGAGATTCAGAATCTCAGACCCCACCCCAGGCCTGATGGAGCTGCATTTTGACTTGCTTGTGGGTTCCATGCCATCTCTTGGCCAGGGTTTGGCCAGGATTTCTGGATGTGCCAACTCTCTGCTGCTACCCACATCACCTCCAACACATTGAGCTGCTTGTGGAGACCAGCATCATCGGTGAGTTACAATAGGACTCTTAACCTTTTCTAACCAAGCAAAAAGCCGGCACGCACAGGAGAGAACAGGTGTACTATTTGATGCTTCTGTATCTCTTTGTTTGTTTTTCTTCTTTAGTGGTTCTCAAAGTGTGGTTGTGCCTCTGGACCTCTAGTATCAGCAACACTGGGAACTTGTTAGAAATGCAAGTTCTCAGACCCCAGTCCAGCTCTACTGAATCAGCTCTGTGGGTGGGGCCCAGCAATCTGTATTTTAATAAGCAAATTCTTCTTTCTGCTTTATGGCTAATCAGAAGTGGCTTTATATATAATGCCTCTCCTTTAGAAAGGCAGGCTAGTCCAGGTGAAGTCACAAGCTTTCTGAAGTGTATGACAATCAGTGTATCGATTCCTGTCTGTCCCCATGTGTTTATTGATTTCGTAAAGCAAAATGAAAGCCCTGAACAACCACTGAATGCTATTTCAAGTAGGCCTACTGCAGAGGGCACTTCAGACCATTGATCCCAGAGGCCGAGAGGCACTGTCAGCCCATTATATGACCCTGGTCCCTTTGCCACTCACCGCCTAAATAAGGAGGTATCTATCCTCCAAGTAATTACAGACACTGCTCTCCAGGCAGCCCTCATCCCATGTGGTGGGAGATCGATCACTGGGCTGAAAATTTTGAGGAAAAGAAATGTTAAGAGGCAGACCTAATTTTTCTGTGCAGATGATTTTGGTTTCAAAACTACACTTCTGTCCAATAACCAAAGGCATCATTTTTGTAAGTCAGAGATGAGTGATGGATGAGAGTTTAAAAAGTGGTTCAGGTCTTAGATTATACAAAACAGGGCAAATGTTCAATGCAAATGTATTTCAAAAACTTACTTTTCTCCTTGGTGTTCATTCATTTTCATAATTAGTGGAGAGAATTATCAGGCCTTTGAAGTGAAATCCTCAGGAATAGTTAAGATCTCTTTTTGCAGACAGAAATGTCCCGGATCCTGGGTCCTGGGTTCCTGGAGGAGACAGACAGCATCAGCATTAACAGTGGGGTGGGAAAGGGGGCGCTATATCCTCTGTGAAGCCTGCCAGACCACCCTGCTGCCTCCTTTCGCCTCACATCCAAGGCCGTTTAATCCCTGAGTTCTATCTCTGGGCCCTCACAATCCTCCTCACCCCACACCTCTCCCTCCATGCCCTGGCTAATTCCTACTCATCCTTCAAATCAGTTTAAATGCCTCCTCAGAGAGGAACTCTATGACTGCCCGGACTAAGTCCTTTTGCTCTGCTTCCCTCGAGACCCAGTCCTTCCTCCTTCCTAACACACAGTATGTTACAATGTCTGAAATTTACTTAAAATACTTCAGTAGAGACCTTGAGAAATTGTGCCGGCTAGCCTAGTTGCTGGAGAAGGACGTTGTGTTTGATAAAATAGAAGGTCAGTGAAAAAGAGGGAGACTCTCAAGGAGATGGGTTCATTCACACAGTGGCTGCAACGATGGGCTCAAACTTAGCAACAATTGTGAGGAGGGCACGAGGCTGGGCAGTGTTTCATTCTGTTATACAGAAGGGTGCTGTGAGGAGGAGCCGAATGTACAGCACCTAACAACAGCAAAACTTAAGGCTCACCGCTTAAGCAGGTACGATTGGCCAACCCACCAGGAAGGCTGAGGTTCAAAGGTAGCCGCTAAAGTGCTTCTGTGATCTGTTCTTGATCACCTCTCCACACTTTGCTAATTAGTATACAAATACTAGAAATAAGGTTTTTAATGGTGAAAACAATGGATTGTTAACTAGGATGTTGAATGTTAGCTATAAGTGCTCATTAGAGAAATTAAAGGCATTCAAGATACGTGGAAGGGATAAAATATTTCAGAAATCCTCCTCACCCTTGTATAAGAGAGTATAAGAATCTAGGGATGCTTGTAGCCTTTACCCTTAAGGGTGACCCCTATGATCCTGTTTCTGGCTATTGTTGTAGAAAAACTTTTGATGCCCAGTGCCAGCAGAATTCTGTCCATGTTACTCTATAGTATGCTCCTATCTGGAGTCATATCTTCATGCAGGTCGGTACTTGGGCCCCTGAGCAGGCAGCAGACTGGGACTTTATCAGACTCTC